ATCATATGCAGCCTTGCAAGCGATGTGACTAATGAGTTAGTTACGGGATGATGCATTACGGAATGAGTAAAGAGACTTGCCGGAAACGAGATTGAACTAGGTATGAAGATACCGATGATCGAATCTCAAGCAAGTAACATACCGATGAAAAAGGGAATAACGTATGTTGACATAGCGGTTCGATTGATAAAGATCTTCATAGAATATGTGGGAACCAATATGAGCATCCAGGTTCCTCTATTGGTTATTGACCGGAGAGGTGTCTCGGTCATGTCTACATAGTTCTCAAACCCGTAGGGTCCGCACGCTTAATGTTCAATGACATTATGTATTATATGAGTTATGTGTTTTGGTGACCGAAGGTTGTTCGGAGTCCCGGATGACATCACGGACATGACGAGGAGTTTCAAAATTGTCGAGAGGTAAAGATTGATCTATTGGAAGTTAGTATTCGAACACTAGAAGGGCTCCGGAATGTAGGGTACATATCAGAGTATCAGAGGGGTTACCAGACCACCCCCCCCCCCCTCCCCGGGGAAAGATATGGGCCATATGGGCCATGAGGAGGGGGCGGCACCACTCTTTCCTTCTCCCTCTCCTACTCCTTCCCCCTTTCCCCCTCCGAAAAAGGGAAGGGGGGCCGAATCCTAGTGGGAGTCCAAGTGGGACTCCCCCCCACACACACACACTTGGGGTGTGCCTAGGCCTGCCTCCTCTCCCTCCCTCCTTTATATACGGGGGGAGGGGGCGCCCCTATGAGACACACCAATTGGTCTTAGTCGTGTGTGGTGCCCTCCTCCACAGTTTACACCTCCGGTCATATTCTCGCGGTGCTTAGGCGAAGCCCTGCGCGAATCACATCACCATCACCGTCACCACGCCGTCCTGCTGACGGAACTCATCTACTCCTTCGACCCTCTGCTGGATCAAGAGCTCGAGGGACGTCATCGCGCTGAACGTGTGCAGAACTTGGAGGTGTCGTACGTTCGGTACTCGATCGTCAGAATGAGAAGACGTTCGGCTACATCAACCGCGTTGAGCAAACGCTTCCGCTTTCGGTCTACGAGGGTACGTAGACACACTCTCCCCATCTCATTGCTATGCATCTCCTAGATAGATCTTGGGTGAGCCTAGAATTTTTTTTGAAATTGCATGCTACGTTTCCCAACACAAACTCTCTAGTAACCCCGGAACCAGACTGGATCGTCGATCGGAACATCCGGAGCCCGGAACTTTCAGTCGTGCCCGGAACTTCCGGTTCAATTGTGTGGACAACTTTCGGAACAAATTCCGGTTCATTAGTCCAGCTTATTTTTGTCCGAGATTTAGCAATCTCGTCAAGCTCTACTATCCTCCCACTTACTTCTTTAGGAAGAAACTCATTCTCGAGAAAGTGTCCAGTTTCTGCGACAAACACTTTGTCAACGGACTTTTGATATAAGGAATACCCAATTGTTGCTCTGGGATAACCTACGAAGTAACATTTGTCTGCTTTGGGATAGAGTTTATTTGGTTGTAAATGTTTTACATAAGTTTCACAACCCCAAATTTTGAGATGCGACAAATTGGGTTTCTCGCTAAAGAAGTAAGGTACATCATATGGTGTCGACTCAACAGACTTTGAAGGTGCTCTGTTTAGTGTATATGTTATCGTCTCAAGTGCGTATCCCCAAAATGATAAAGGCAGATCGGTAAGGGACATCATCGACCTCACCATGTCAAGGTTCGGCTACGCCTCCAGATATTCCATTCCTCTATGGAGTTCCAGGAGGAGTAAGTTGTGAAACAATTCCACGATCACCTAGATGTTTGCTATACTCATGACTTAGACATTCTCCACCACAATCTAATCGCCAAAAAAATTGCCACGATGATTCTCAACTTCGTTCTGAAATTCTTTGAACTTTTCAAATGTTTCAAACTTATGTTTCACCAAGTAAATATAACAATATCTACTCAAATCATCAGTGAAGATTACGAAGTATAAGTATCCACCGCACATCGGTGTGCTCATCGGACCGCATACATCAGTATGTATTGTTTCTAACAATTCATGCGCCCGTTCGGGATGACCTGTGTATGGTGTTTTAGTCATTTTATCCATCATACAAGCTTTACACGTGTTAAATAATTCAAATCAAAAGTCGTTAATACTCCATCTTTATGAAGCTTATGCATACGTTTCTTTTCTATGTGACTAAGACAGCAGTGCCACATATAAGTGGTATTATCAGTCTTCTTAAGACGCTTAGCTCGGCTATGTCCCTCTTAACTCCATTCCACCAAAATCTTCCCTTTAAATCCATATACATTTTGGTGTTACCAGGATGTATAGAATAGGAAGAGTCGTGGTTCCTACATGATCAACTTCCTCAACTCCAATCGTTGGGCACACAGACTCGGTTCTCAAACCACATAACTCGTTGATCGTCCTCGTGGAAACCTTCCGCCTTTTCCTTCAGGTTCGTCTTCTTCTTAATCTCAGGGTCCTACTTTTGAACTTCCCAGATCCTTTCTAATTCCATATTGCCCAGAGAAAGGCACAAATTCCCCATGGATTTGGCACTTCAACTCATGATGAATCGCCCAACTAGTTTCTAAACAAATTTAGAATATTCGTTGGCGGTGCTAAATTGTAGATAACATGAATCATGCGCCAGAGCAAGGTAGTAAACGGACATGACAAAATAAATGAATTGTCCCCTCTTGGTCATAAAAACAGTAACTTTTATTTGCTACCATGACAGTTACGTTTAGCAAGGTTACCTTTGGTAAGAAGTACCCCCCTCTGCAAAAAACCACATTAAAACTTTAATCTTGAAAGGAACCTTTGTTTTTCAAACATGTTTTCTGCGGAAAATAGGACCAGAATCCATAAGATCCGCATACATAGACTTCACAGTGAAGACACCATTAATGGTTAACCTCCACTGGAAGGAATCTGGCATGTGAGTTAGATTAATTGACATCAATCTAGAAACCAAATGGATCCACTTGGTCCATTTGTCGCCGAATAAAGCCCTGTGAAATTGGATGTTCAAAGGACTAGCCCCAAGAATGGCAACCACTGTATCCTCTTTTGTGAACACAATATTATACAAGATCGAGTATTTGTAATGCTAATGGAATGTCACCTAACCAAGTATCTTCCCAAAAACTCGTCGATTGAAATTGTTAAGTAGAACAAAGGAATTATTAACACCATACTTTTAGATATACATGTAAATGTCCAGGTGCTACGATAGTCCTATCATCTCTTTGGATCCAATTGCTTATCTCAGTTGCAACTACATGACCCCAGGTTTTCCAAATTTTGGAATAGCTTTTTCAGTAGCTTTGTCACATGGCATGACCTCCGCGGCAGTTACCATCTGTTGGTCTATCTCACTCAGTGCAATCTCATGATTATTTGTCAAGTTTATCTTCAGAATACTCCTACTGGTTCATGAATTGAAAGAATATGTTGTCTTGAGGGGCTTTCAGCAGAAGCTCAACCAAGCATTTAGTCAAAGGAGTGGGAGCATCTTGAATATTTAGTCCGAATGCGTTCGCTTGTTTGTAAATATTTGTTCTAAAAACTCATTTATTACTCCATCCAGATGAGAATATAAGTCTGGCACGGGAACTTAGATTTAAAAAATCACGAGGAATAGGTCATCTGAATATATATTTTTATGACATAATGTAACATATTTTTCGCTAATCAATAAAACAAAAACCTAAAAACATGTGTCCAACTTATCCCATCCGGAGGGAGCAATACGATGGAGCATGGTCTTTGCTTCCATTCAATAAAAAATGGATTAGGTTTGATGGAGAAAGGGTTGGATTCGTTGGGATTATGTCCGGTGGAGTCTGAATCCATCGCTGCTAAATGGAGACGGCCAGCGTGCGATCTGTTGATACTGCGCCGTCGTTGCTTACGGGAAGTATCCAGAGACATCACTCCATCAACCACTGCGTCAAGAATATGGGTAGCATTAAGCATAGCAATTAGCAACCCAAGCAAAGCAGTAGCTAGGTTTCTTCTATTCCTTACCTATAAGAACACTTCCGCAAGTTATGCTCCTAATAAATGTACTACCAGTGGAAATTGGACATCAAGATAAGGCGATGCACCAACTATTTCATCGAGATATTATGGAAACCAAGCTTGAAACAGCAACCTCGCGATGACGAAATGTCAACTTGTAAAGAAAATGACAGTTTCGATACTATCTTTTCGCTCCTCGGCCTCAAAATAATATGGGGGCAGCAATGATTTGCTCCTACTACACAAGTTCGGTAGATACACATACATCCACTTCCTCTTGTATAATAATTTACCAACATATACTAATGAGGGAAGGTCGGTACTCCATAGCATCATAACGAAAAGGTAGAGCGCTGATTGTCTGGGCCTTAACAACTGCCACCGTTAACATGGTGGCCAGTTCCAAATGAACCCCAGAATCTTCAGTACACAATTTATAAATAAACAAAGAATATGCCCTCCCTTATGCGAGATGTCTGTGGAGCTGGCGAGTATTGTTTCTTTCTCTCTCTTTTTTCACAAATAATGCCCAGCACGACAACAAGTAAAATAACCGGCTCAATGATCACAACAGATCCACATCCAGGTTGCTCACCGAATCCATCTCAACTGATACCATGGCCACATCAATCCGCTTAATTAATCCCATCATCTCGAAGGGCAGCTCGCCTGTCTCGTCGAACAAGATTTCTCATCTTATTTGCCTAAGTACAGTTTTTCTCCCTAATTTTGTTTTCTCTCCATTTCGCGGCATCATTATCAGGCGTCCGGCCGGAGTTCATATATTGTGGAAATGGACATTTCATCTAATCCTTGTATGCTCGCAAAGTTTATTCATCTTGTGGTCTAGGTAACATTGCCGAAATAATATATTGACTACCTACTAAGAACTTGGTCACACAAAACACGTCAAAAAATAATGTTCAAATTACTGAACACTGGGATCAGTTCATCGTTCTGTACTTCTCTACGCGAAGGCCTGCGCCTCGATCTCGGCCTTCACCATGGCCGCGTAGAGGCCATCGCGGTGGTTTGCAAGGAGGGTCTCGTGGCTGCCGAACTCCACGGTCCTGCCGGCGCTCACCACGGCAATGCGGTCGGCATCGCGGATCGTGGAGAGGCGGTGCGCCACCGTGATCGTCGTCGCACGCCGCGACACTCGTCGCAGCGCCTCCTGCACGTGCTTCTCGGACTCGAGGTCCAGCGCGCTGCTCGCCTCGTCCAGGAGCAGTATCCTCGACTGCTTCAGCACTGCTCGTGCGATCGCAATCCTCTGTTTCTGACCACCTGACAGCTGCACCCCACTCTCCCCAACCTGCCAAAAATAAGCGGTTCAGTATATAATGTCTATAATGTGTAAAAATAATGTAAACAACATCTTAATTTACAAATGTTAAGTTTTAAGTAAGTACAAATGTTAAGTTTGGCGTTGGAAGTTGAGATTTGTGAGCAGTTTTTCAATTTGTGAACAGGTACTCACTTGAGTGTCGTAGCCTTGGGGAAGCCCAGCGATGAACTTGTGGATGTTGGCCTCCTTAGCAGCATTCTCGATTTCGGCCCACGCGGCCTTCGGGTTGCCGAACCCAATGTTTTCTCTGATGGACCCACTGAACAGGGCCGGCTCCTGGCCCACCATCGCGCATTCCCCTCTGAGCCACTTGAGGTCCAGCTCCCGCACGTCCATGCCGCCGACCGTCACGGTTCCCCCCAGCGGGTCGTAGAACCGCTGCACCAGCCACACCACCGTCGACTTGCCGCTCCCGCTCGGCCCGACCACCGCCACCGTGCTCCCGAACTTCACGCGCAGCGAGAAGTCGTTCAGCACCGTCACGTCCGGCCGCGACGGGTACGCGAAGATCACTTTCCTCAGCTCCACGTCCATCGGCTTCCCGTCCTTGATCGTCCGCCGCTTGGTGCCTTCCTCGTTGATCGTCGGCCGGCGCTTCAGGATGGACAGTATGCCGGCGATGGCCGTCGGCGCGCCGGACGTGTCAGGGGCGAGTCCGGCCAGCTGGCCGACGGAGAAGGAGCTGAGGACCAGGATGAGGAAGATCTTGGACACGTCGCCGAAGGTGGACCAGCCTTTGGTGATGAAGTAGGCGCCCGCCCAGAGCGTCACCGTGTAGGCGCCGTACATGGCGCCCTGGGAGAGGCCGAGGATGATGCCCATGTACTGCGACTTCCGCTGGGCCTTGGCCGAGGGGCCGTCCAGCGCCCGGTTGAACGTGCCGACGATGCCGCCCTGCGCGCAGAGCGCCGCGACGGTGCGCACGTTGGAAACGGCACCCGCGGCGATGCTGCTGGCCCGCGCGTACGCGGCTTCGTCGGACCTGGCGCCGACGTTGATGAGCAGGTTGAGGTAGCTCGCGCCGAGCGTGAGTGGAGTACAGGCCATGGCAATCAGTGTAAGGCGCCAATCCAGCCCGAAGCAAATGCCGAGGCCGACGCCGGCGGAGCCCACGGCCATGAGCAGCACGGCGTACCGGTCGCCGAACATGGAGCGGAAGGCGATGGCGTCCCTGGCGAGCCGTGTCACGAGGACGCCCATGGCATTGTCTTCCTCGTCGAACCACGCGGGCTCCTGCCGCATGATGGCGCGGAAGAGGCGGTCGCGGACGCGCATGGTGAGCCGGGCGCCGGCCCAGCCGCAGAAGCCCTGCTGACCCGTCATGGTGAGAATGCAGGCAAAGCCGAGACCCACGACGGCGAGGGCCAGGTACCCGATCTGCCGCCTCATCTTGTCCGTGTCGGGGTCGAAGTACACCTGGACGGCCTGGCCCAGAAGCAGCGGGAAGACGGAGAAGACCGCGCCGGCGTTGATGCCCATGAGGAACCCAAGGATCAGCAACGGCCCTTCCTGCCGCTGCAGCTCCCATATCTCAGAGACGCTGAACTTGGCGGCGGCCTTGCGGCCGCGCGCGTCCTTAGCATCCGCCTCCACCTCCTGTATCGCGCGAATGCCGCCATACCTCGACTTAGAGACCGACACGTCGTACCCCGAGTTGTCAGTGAAGCTGTTGTACCCCGCCGCGCCGGGCGTGCCAGGGGTGCCGGGAGCAACGGCGGGAACGGACCTGCCGCTGTCAGAGGCGAGCTTGACGAGGCCGGCGTAGGGGCCAGCGCGGGCCATGAGGTCGGCATGGCGGCCGGACTCGACGACGGCCCCGCGGTCGAGCACGGCGATGGTGTCGGCGTTGCGGACGGTGGCGAGGCGGTGCGCGATGACGAGGACGGTGCGGCCGACGGAGAGGCGGTCGATGGACTGCTGCACGACGGCCTCGGACTCGGCGTCGAGCGCGCTGGTGGGCTCGTCCAGCAGCAGGATGCGCGGCTCCCGGATGATGGCGCGCGCGAGCGCGATGCGCTGCTTCTGTCCCCCCGACAGCTGGGTCCCGCGGTCACCAACCTAAACAAAAGAGAATATTTAGGCCATGTTTGGTTCATAAGTCCTAGACTTTTTTTAGTCCCAACTTGTAAGTCCCAAGTCCCTAAAAAGTCTCTGTCTGTTTGGTTCCTGGGACTTATAAGTCCCTATAAGACCATATTACAACTATAAGTCTCTATAAGACTCTTCTTGAGAGTCTTATTTCATAAGTCCCAAATGTCCACTTTAAGTCCCTATAAGTCCTTTCTGTTTGGTTTAGATGGGACTTATAGGGACTTTTTTAAGTCCCTAAACCAACAAGTCCCTAGAAACAAACACCCTCTTACTTAGGAGATCCTGGCGAGCCCATGAACAGAGACAGACTAGTGAGGCCATCATCAGCATCGGCATCATCAGTTTGCTTAATGCTTATAAAAAAAATCAGTTTGCTAAATGGATTTAGTTACCTGCGTGTCGTAGCCGTCGGGGAGGCCGAGGACGAAGGTGTGGGCGTTGGCCTTGGTGCAGGCGGCGATGGCCTCTTGCCTCGTCGCGTTCTCCTTGCCCATCATCACGTTCTCGATGATGGAGACGGCGAACAGGATGGGCTCCTGCCCGACCAGCCCGATCTGCGACCGCAGCCACTTGAGGTTCAGCGACCCCAGGTCCTGGCCGTCCAGCGTGATCGTCCCTAGTAGACACGAACAAAAATTCGTTACGACCCATCATCGTGCGTGCAACGGCAGCGCACGGCCATGCGGTGACCGTCATGTACCTCGCGTGGGGTCGTAGAACCTCTCGATGAGCGCGAACACGGTGGACTTGCCGCCGCCGCTGATGCCCACCAGCGCCAGCATCTTCGCCGCCGGGACGATCAGGTTCAGGTTGTACAGGATGAGCGACTCCGGGCGCGACGGGTACGCGAACTCCACGTCCTTGAACTCCATCCTGCCCCTCACCGCCGACAGCGCCCGCCCGCCGGCGCCGTACGGGTCGATCTCCGGCTCCCGGTCGATGATCTCGAACACCCGCCCGGCCGCCGCCGTCCCCTGCGCGAACTGCGCCGAGTACGACAGCGACAGCGCCAGGCCCCTGCACGCACGACGACCACCATTTCCAAAGTTACAACCAGCCAACAAGCCTAGCGACAGAGAAAGTGATGGCGCCTTGGCACCGGCGTGCAAGGTGCTGCTCGTGCTTGCCTTCCTCCGACCATGACGCCGAAGAAGCAGGCGATGGCGTCGCCGCCCTTGATCTCCCCCTGGGCGACCAGCTTGGCGCCGTACCACAGCGCCAGCGCCCACTGGGAGTAGGTGACCAGGTAGATCATGCCCATGCCGGCGCCCTTGGCGAAGCCCATCTTGACGCCGATCGGCGACGCCTTGCGCAGCCACTCGGCGTACCGGTCGGCCAGCCGGTCCTCCATGACGAACGACAGCACCGTCCGGATCGAGCTGATCGCCTGCTGCGCCACGCTGCCCGCAGGTTGGTACGACGCCTAGTTTGATAGATTGTCAGAAGCAACACAAATGTTCAGTTCAGACTGCATGTTTGTTTTCCTTCAGTCTATATATATGTTCAAGACACGAATTACCTCTTCGTTGGCGGCGAGGCCGCCGTATATGGCCTTGTAGGCGATGCCGCAGGCCATCATGACCGGCGTGACGGCCAAGACGGCGAGGGCGATCCGCCATGACGTTCTGAACCCAACCACGTAGCCGAAGATGAAGGTGAAGACGTGATGCACAAACCCTGCCATCTATATATACATGCACAAGTACAGCAGTTCAGGCAGAGCGCTGGGAGGATGCAGCCATGTTTTTTGTCCATAGATATGGGCAAAGTGTTTAAGCAATGTAAATCTTGGTTACCTTCTCCCCCATGACTTCCTGGATCTGTGCGACGTCGCTGGAGATGCTCTGCATCACCTCGCCGGTGCTCACCTCCGTGTCGAAGAAACCGATCTCCTGCCGCAGCACCGCCTTGAGGTACTCTCGCCGCACCCGCAGCGCCGACCTCTCGCCCACGATCCTCCAGCACATGATCTCTGCGCCAACCAACGCTCATCAGTACTGGTACTAGATTCATGCATGAGGAATGACATGTCAGAACAACAGTCATGCGTGTGCTCACCGAGGTACGCTCCGATGACGACAACCACGGCGAGGATGACCATGTACACGCTGATCTGCCTGACGTCTTTCATCATCTGCGTCTTGTCGGAGGCGACGATCTTGTTGACGAAGTTCCCGAAGAGGTACGAGTACCAGGGCAGAGAGCCGCCGTTGATCATGGCGCCGATGCACCCGAGCACGAGCAGCACGACGTCCATCGGCGTGGAGTACTTGAACAGCCCGGTGACGCTGACCGGCTTCCCGGCCCTCAGCTCGACCTCGCCGTCGTCGTCGTCCTCGTCGTCGAACTCGTAGCCGCCAGCGTCGTCGTCGCCGTAGTACCGGCTCCGGCTCTGGCTGTAGGACGTGGCGCTGACGTCGTAGCCGAAGCTGGGCACGTCCCGCTGCACGGGGGCGGGGGTGACGTAGAGCTTGTTGTGGTTGTCGCGCGAGAAGGAGACCTCGCGGGACACCGGGGTGCGCGCGCCGGCGTCGGCGCCGTACCTCACCATCGCCCTGTCCACGGCGCCGGCGGCGGGGGCGACGGACGCGGCGATGCTGCAGTCGTCGTTGCTGGCGAAGGAGACGTCGGGGGCCACGGCGGCGGCCCGGCTCGCGTCCGTCACGACGCTCTGCAGCTCGAGCCGCTTGCCGGCGACGGTGCTGACGGCGCCGCTGGGCCGGTGCACCGTCGACATGGACGACGAGCGGTCGCGGTGCGTCCGGGGCCCGGACCGGCGCGACAGGTAGTAGTCCCGCGCCGTGCGCTGGAACAGCGCCGGGCCGCGGCGGGAGGCGGCGTCGGAGCCGGCGAGGCCCCAGGGCCCGACGGCCGCGCCGAGGCCGTGCGGCTGCGCCCACGACGTGTCGGGCTGCCAGGACACGGAGCTCTGCCACGACATGTCATCGTAGCCGCCACCCCGGCGGCGCTGTCCGCGCGGGGCGCGCCCGCCGGCGAAGGAGGTGGAGTTGTCCGGGGTAGGGTAGGGGCTGCGCGCGCCCTGGCGCCGGCGGCCCTGCCCTTGCGGCTGCGGGCCGGAGCGGGAGAAGGAGAAGTCGGCCATGGTCGCAGCTCCAAGAGGTGGCGTTGGGTCCGATGATAAAAAGGGGTTCCCGCTCTCGGGTGTAGCTCCCGATGCTCGCCGCTTGGTCGCCAGTCGCCGGACAGACGGCACGGCCCTTGGGCACGACGCCGCGCGGTGTGTCTCTTTTGTAGTACTACCAGGTGCCTGAGCCAGGATCAGCAACGGCGTATCTGCACTGGGATTTGACTGTTTCGTGTGTTGTGACGTGAGGAATGCGCCGTGCTTGACATGATTCTGTTCTGCCTGCACTTTCTGGTGAACACCGTAGTACATATGATAGTACTATAAACATTACCAAGTCCGAGCTGTGCGGTGGACATAGCTATGCACGACGGCTTCGACAAATGGAGACAGAGATAGGAACCCTGCTGCTAGGCTCCAGGCAATGGTACTTTGGAACTTTGGATGGAGCGTGTATCCCTTCCTTGCCTACATCTTGTATTCTTGTGCTGTCGATTCGACACTTAAGCATGTGGAGCCTGAACTAGATGGTTGTCTGTTTGATGTGATCAAAGCTCTCAACACCAATGGATTATTATTTAATGAATGAATGAATGTACTCGGATATGTACTAGACAGGGTTGGAAGTTTAGCAGCCTGCCACCAAGAACACATCTTCGTGTCAATCGCCTGGGACGTGATCCGCTGGCCTATGAGCTGAGCCGCGTGAGATGGTCCAAATTCGTCACCGGCGCCCACGACGCCCCCATGAAGCTCGTCCCAGAATATGCCCAGCTAGCCTACGAACAGCCCGTCATTTTCTTGCAATTTCACTACCCTTCTCATTTCTCGCTCTCTGCTCCTCCGTATACTGTATACTGGAGTAGTAAGATTTGGAAAGCAACAGTATGGTTTTTATTTCTTTCTGGGGGGCACTTGGGCAGTATGACTATCTGCTGTCTATTTCTTCAGAGGATCGGTGGTCCAATTCAAATCTGAGTATTTAAAACACAATGGTTCTTCAGGTAGTGCTGCGCCGGCCGGTCAATAGCATAATGCTTGTTTGGTCGGTCATCTTCCAAGTGGCGAGGAAACAGCACTGTTTCATCACCGCTGCTTACCCAGAAAGTGTCTTCGTTTCAAGGAAAAGCAGGCTCGTGGATTTCATATATCTGGTTAGGCACACTCACCCAGTCAAGCCATGGAAGTCATCACTAGGCACAACCTCTACGGCCGGCCGAAACATTTTCTGAAGAAGCAAAACATGATCTTGTAGTTCAGGTGATCCATTGTGTCAGCATTTAGATGTGGAAAAACATGAGTAAATAGCATAAATCTTCGTTTCATTTTCGCTCGATCGAAATACTAGTGGTTTAGCTGTTCCTGCAACATCGGCATGACATATGCTATGTATGAATGCAGACAATTCGAATCTTTACTACCATCTCAAAGCTAAGTGAGTTTCTATAGTCGAACTAAGGGCTATTATTATTTTACTTTACAACAAACGGCACATATTGCTTACTACCACAAAAATAAGTAACAGGAGCCTTACAGAGTACCAGAAACTTCAGGATTTCTGGAACGACATGGTGAAAGCGTAAGGCCCACTTTTCATCCAAAACCTGTTTCATGGTTTAGGGGGAAACCTCCGATAAATGGCTGCTGGTTCGTCCCTGCTGAAGGGGCATAACCCTGTACAGCAACTCAATGTCAGAAAAGCATAAACTATTCTAATGTCTACAATTTTGTGCGTCGTTGACAGGAGGTGGAACATCACCAGGCACATGCTAAAATACTGTGAAAAATAAATTAAAACCAACACTCATGGTGTAAGAAGTTGAAGTGCACTACGTCTAAATTCAGTTCAATCAGTGTTTGATACCTGGTTTCCATGTGCGTTTCCTTGAAGGGCATGTTGGCCGGAAGTAGAAATGGAAGTGGCCTGTGATTGCCATGACGTGTGTATCATTCTCGGCCTGAATCAAGAATCGGAAGCAACTCTTTAATTAAAATGCTGCATTTGATCAACTTACATGGTCATGGAGATTATTCAAGTGCACTTGTGGTTGACCTATAAATGGCGCAGGAGCATTTAAACAAGAGCTTGGAGTCTGCGAAGCTCCATCATTCAAGAATTCTTGGTTGCCTCTATCTGCAGATTTTGCATCCTTCGTCCATCTTCTCTGAAAATATTTCTGTGGCAACTCCTTTATATTTCTGAAATCAAGGACTTTCAGCACATGGCAGCACTGGATGCCCATCGATTCGAATTTTTTACAACTGCAAACAACAGACAAGTCACTGGATTCAAACCTAACATAGTATTCCCCGGGTCTATCTGTTACTGCTACTCTATAGTCGGATGCAGTTCCAGACTCCCCACAACTGTAGATCACTGAATCCACAAACATCTCAAACTCTCTGCGGAAATTTTCAAAAACCACTGGTGTGTATATGTTGGCAGCTTGTTTCAGCATTTTCGAGGGGGGGATTCTCGGGAAGCTTTGGCTTGCATGAAAATCAGCTTGTAGCTCTGCATAGCGATGCTCATCCAGCACTCTTTCATAGTGCTTGAAGAAAGACAAAAAATCAAACTGTGGGCTCAAGTACTTTCTTAAGACATTGCTAACACATTCTAACTGCAATGAACTTTTTATATCTGCGGTGAATACATGTCGATTGTACGCTGATGCCCATTTATCTCGATCTTTGAATAACTTATGAAGCCATTCATTGTTTCTTAGATCATACCTCTCTAGCATGGTTCTCCAGCCTAGCAAAAAACCCTCTTCATCCTCATAATCATAAACGCATCTGCTGAAATCCTTTGCAAATGTTTTAGAGCCTTGGAAGATGTGATTAAGGTGTTTGACAGTGTTTTGGTACAGTTGCCATGGGCAAAGACAGTGAATTGTACTTGGCCATACTGCGCTTATGGCAGCACTTGCTGCAATTGATTGATCTGTCAAGATTGTTTTTGGCTGTTTTCCATCTGTAGCGATCTTGAACGTGTCAAACAACCACTTGAACGATTCCACTGATTCATCATAAAGCAAAGCAGCACCAAATATGGAGATTTGCTTGTGATGATTCACTCCAAGGAAGAGAGTTAATGGCCTTCCATGTGCATTTATCTTGTAGGTTGTGTCCAAACAAACCACGTCACTGAAGTAGCTGAAATCAACTCTAGATTTGGAATCGGCCCAGAAAATGTTGGTCAGTCTGTCATCCTCATCGAGCTGGACAGCATAAAAGAAAGACGGATTGTTTAGCTGCATGCTCTGCAGGTACTTAACAACACCTCCTGCATCACCACGTTGCATATTTTTCATACGCTTTGAACAAAGGGAACTTCTGTAATCTGCAGGGAGGAAATTAACATTTCTAAAAATTCCTGCCTGCTGTACTAAAGATCCACCAGAAAACCTTGACGGTGTTGTGGAATCTTCTGAGGAGTTGCATTCAGTTGTTTGTACCTCAGTGAGCACTCTCTGAGATCTCAGCATATGCATGGTTGATGGGGGTGCTGGCTGATGGTTATGGTCTGCTACAAATTCAGCAATGCGATATTTATTATAGGATGTAATCTTAATTATCATCCGTGCGGGGCACCCTATTCTTGTTTCTGGCCGTGGCCTTTTAACTTCATTAGCTCCTTTCTTGTCCTTACGGAAACCCTCCCTCGAGCATACAAAGGTTCTCGATCTTGTGATGTTGTCAGCTGATTTGTCCGATGAACTCTTACGAACACTAAAGCCCATGTGTCCAGCATACCTGTTATAGAATTCATATGCTTTGTCTTCATTGTCAAATTCCATGCCGACTTCAGGCACCATTTTTGCAACAGTAGCATCATCTATGGGGGCATCAGAATCAATAACTTTTCTCAATTTTCCCTGCTTGCATCCAAATGATTAGTGATTTAGCATGCTAAACAAAAAATAACTGTCGGGATCATTGTTGAGGAAATCGTTAACTGGTAGCTGCTCGGTTGGCTGGTGAGTAGGGGATTAATCGGCTAATTGGCAAGTTAATCGGCCATTTAATCAATTAGTCGGATGATTTATCGGTTTATAGGCTACTCGGTGACCCTACGAGTAGGGATTAATCGGCAAGTTAACTGGTTAATCGGATGAATTCTTGAACAGGGGTCGGGATATAATATACTCTCTGCTTATGTTGAGTATGTATATGATCTTTTTAAGAAACATTTGACTATGTAAGGTGTTGGCCATGCTATATTAATAGTACAATATGCCGCTCTACTATGAATCAACGATAATTGATATGTCAAAAGTATATGCAAGTTTAAAATACACAATTCAAGCTCCAGAAAAATTGAGGTCAACAGAAAAGCTCTTCTGACCCATACTAGCCAATGTTCATCGAGTAGAAGAACAACAGAGTTTTCACATGAACGTCATTTTTTTGCTCAGTAGAGAGCACAAAACAATCCTTACAGAAAGAAAAACGATTGGTGATTCAATGTGATTTGAGTCTATGAACAAGCACAGGAATTGTAGGCCCTATAAGCCACGACATGAGTGAGCGAAATTGATTAAACACATAGTGCCTACCTTTGCCCATGCTATTCCACATGCATTGCATAAAGTCCGCCGTCCCATCGGTCCACGACGCATATGAGGCGTCGCATTTGCGCTAATTCCACAGCGTAGGCATCTGAATAACTATAACAAAGGAGTTAGAAATTATCTCACTGCCACAGGGATGCAGTGTGATTGAAGAAAGGAAGTAAGCATGTAGTAAGTCGCAGCATTCTCTTGACACTACAAAAAACACACACATGTTACACCCTCGCTTTGCACAGTAAGAGGCAGACAAAATAGGAACCCAACTAATGTGTGCATATGCAGTGGGCATTCATGGATGATTACTATTTTCTCACACCCATGAAATGAAAAGACGGTATACGCTATACAGTGAACGGGTGAACAGCTGGTCACTCTGTTAGCCTATGGATGCATGTCCAATTTCTTCAACTACAGAACGCACCTAAAACAAAGGTCCCATGTCCACAATTGCAGAACACACCCATGTAAAGGCTAAGTAGACTACGAATACACATAGAATCCATATTATCCACAAATCTCTATTCTCACACAGACAAGATTAGCAGTACAGATGCTGAACTTTAACTAGCCTCCAAGCCACCCAGTGACACTTCCTATTTTGCATAGATTTGGGCACATCCTCTTCAAGTTAATGTCAATGTCAAAATCGGTTGCGCAGACAAAATGTTGGCACTGGACAGCTGAATGTAAAAGACAGTATGTTCCTTTGGTTTCTTCACCTGGTAGGTTCGTCCACCC